TAGCTAAGGTAATCAATCATAAAGCAATAGATAGCAAAATCATTTTTCTTTTTCTCCTTCGATTGTGGCGCCCTTTTTTAATTCATTTTTTCCTTTCCTTCCAATATTTTCAACGCCTCTGACTGTGGGCCCCACTCTTTTTTTTTACTGCTTTCCTTCCTTGCCACGTCACCCCCCCCCTTTTCTCTCTTACTTTCACTGTATCCCTCCACAATTCTACACCTAAGCATCTCTTTCATTTTACTATTATTACTATTAATGATAATAATTAAGTTATATCTTATTATTTTCTTATATTATATTTTATACCAGCTATTGGTTGGTAAAAGATGGATGTGATGTGTAAAAATAAAATTGAGACAGGAGCGACATAATTTACTATGTATTTGATAGATTTGACTGATTGATTGATTTAAGTAATTGTTCAACTTTATGATTTATTTGGTAATTTTTTCGATAATATTTGTATATTATTATTTTCAAATCTGGTAAATAATAAGTTAAATGCGATATAGCAAAACTTAGTTTTAACTCAAAATTAATACTGTAAATAAAAGAGGGGAGGGGAGGGGAGGGGAGGGGGAAAAGTGTGATGTAAAACAGTAAAAATAATAGGAAAAAGACAAAGAAAGGTCTCGAAAAACTCAACTCGAGGTGAGGTGTGGCTGTGAATTAGTGTGGGAAAGAAAAAAGGCCATTTCAATTATTATTATTATGTTTTTGTTTTTTTTAAGAGAAAGAAAAAAAAAATGTCAACTGAGATGGGAAGAGGACAACAGTTTCCCAGATCTGAGTGGAAGGGATAGGGGCCTACAAGTGTAGGGTTAGGGGTCCCATTCTCCTTCTGCCCCCAAACTAAATCATAAGTGTAATGATGTTCAAATTATTTCCTCCACATTCTATGTTACCCTACTTTCTCTCTCTTCCTATTAACTACTACCACTCTGCCCTATTCTTTTCTTTTTCCTCTTTTTAAAATAATTATTTCATATATATATATTATATATATATTTTTTTTAAAATCTTGTTTCTTCTTCTTTTTCGTACCTCAAGGCTTTGATTTTGTCAGCGATTGCTTGCCTATCGGGGTGAAATGTGCCCTAAAGTAGTCGTATAATGTATTAGCCAATTGAGTTAGAGATTCATTTTAGTTTTGTTTGTGAAGATTTACGTACATTTTTTCGATTAATACATATTTTTAATTAAAAAACATGTGTGAGTAGGACTTTGAACTCCTTACCTTGTGGTCGAGGATTTAATGTTTTTAATCAATCAATGTACTAACTTTGGCAAGCACCCATCATCTTTATTTTGATAAGTCAGTAGAGTAGGGGCCAGCTCGAGTGTAATTTGAATGACCATTGATTTAAACTACTCAAAATGACACCGTTTTCTTTTGTATTGAAACGAGTATTGATTGTTTTTACGACAATTCATAAGCTATGGCAGGTACGAGAGAAAGATAAATAAAACATAAAAGTACCATAGCATATGGAACCTTCACATTTTGGTATGAATGGTTTTAAGAGTAGAGAGGTTGGAAATTGGAATAATGAGTCTGAGGGGCTTAAATTAGGGTTCTTTGGAGTGTGGGGTTGATGAGGACAGGAGGGTCATTTCAAAGTGATTGATGTGATGACTTTTTTTAGTCAAAGGAGTGAGAAACTAATAACATTATTATTCATTCTATATTATATATGAAATAAAAGGGCTAATGGAGTTCAACTTTGTTAGGTTAAAGGATCCTATGTACCCTATAGACATAGGGAAGGGCAGCCTTATTGAGGGCTTTATTGTTTGAATTTATTGCTTGTTGACCATTTTTCGTGAGAAAATAATATGTAATTATATTCAACTGATTAATACTATATATAATACTATATATACTGTTGACTAAGATGTAAGATATTTTTAAATATTTTTTTTGATATATTATTAAATAAATAAATAAATAAATAAAGAATTTTATTATTGATTTGAGAGGGAAAGAAGAAAGACAATGACATATGATAATTAAGAACATTAAATTCTGTTGGGTTCCACTTTCCCTCATACCTCATACCTCATTTCATCACTTTCTTCTCTCTAACAATCTCAGATCTTACTGGTTTTTGCCCTTTCTTCTTACAACTATTTTCATTTTTATTTTTTAAATAATTCTCTCTCCGTGTGTATATATATATATAGTTTAATTCTTCAAATTTACCCTTTCCTATATTAAATATGAAGGTGGGTCCCAAATTGAAAAGGCAAACTTTTCCCTTACAATTTCTTCATCATTTTCATCTCATTTCGATTTCGTATAATCACCCTCATTTTTGTTCGATTTCTAGCTCAATAAGTAAAAAAAGAAAAAAAAACGTGATTTTGAAGAAGGATTTGTTGATTTTTATTTATGTAATATATATTTTTTTTCGATTTAGATTGATTTTTGTGGAGAAAAATAATCAAAAGGGTATGAAAAAAATCACGGTCTTGGTGATGCCCAATAGAAAGAGTAAAATTTATGGTATTTGTTAATTTTTGGTTGAAAAATGTATAATAGTCGGTTGGTAATTATGAAATTAAAATTATATTTGTTAGTAGGAAAGTACAGTAAACCCGACTGTGAAAGTATATTAAAATATGACCAAAATGAATTAGGATCGAATGAGTTTTTTTTGTTTTTTTTTTCGAGACTTGTGGGTTTTATGGGTTGGTTTGGTGGTTAAAAGATGAAAATTAAATGTTAGTACAAAAGTTGGTAAAAAAGTGGGTGAACATCAAATACTATTGTATTTAATGCATTGGGGGCATATAAGTAATTTAACATACAGACTTTATACTCACGTATTTATCTCAACAAGTTAATTTTATTTTGAAAATTATATTAAAAAAACTCAATATGTTAATTTTAATATCAAATTTTAATTATATCAACTTTAGTTAGTCATTTATGAATGGATTATATGTTCTAATATCTTTCCTACAAAATTTTTTAAAAAAAAATCATAAATTAAATTAATTAAACGAAAAAAAACAATGATTTTTCTACTCAGAATTTCCTAAAATAATTAGGAAATTGTGGAATTTTGATTTCGGAAAAAGAAAATAAAAAGCATTTAAATCAACTGCAATAATACATTTGTTACTCTCATGAGAGTGCGTGTCGTGCACGCTCGCATTTATTGGTCAAGAAAATTAAGTGACTGCTTTTTCAAGTGTCGGTGAAAGTCTAAAACTGTATATCGCGTGGCGGATTTTATTAAAATTCTATATTTGACTTTCAAACTTGCTGACAAATTTCTTTCATGTTGACCTGATAAGTGGATTAGATTGACGAATAATGATTTGACATAATATAATAAAAATTCATTTAAATAAAATAATATGTTTTTTAAGCACTTTTTTAATTTAGTCTAAATTATTTAAAAAGTTTTAATATATATATTTTTTTTAACTTAGTCCAAATTATTTAAGAGAGAAAACTAACCCTATGTTTTTTTTTTTTAATTTTTTATGTATATAAGATGATACCGACATTTAAGATAATTAATAAAAAATGATAAATGATTTAATTCGATACAAACAAGTAGTCATAAGTTTTAGGGTTTAAGTGGTTTATGAAAAGCAGGCCACATGCTTCAAGATATTTTCAGGTACGACAATATATGGGTGAAAAATTGAAACTTCTTATTTAAAAACATACACATTAAACTATGTCTATTTATGATGTATATAAGATGACGCGGACATTCGAAATTGTCTATTTATGATGTAGTGACACGAACACTCGAGATAATTAATAAGTTGGTGTTGGATGGGATAAGGTATAATTAGAGGGATATAAGAAAAATAAATGGAATTGAAAGGTGACATGGGCCAAGGGAAGGTACAAAATGGAGCTTAGGGCAGGGGAGGGCACCTCACATCGACATACTCCTAATTCTACGCTTATTATTTTACTCAACTCGTAGTGTTGTTGTAATAATTCAAGTTCATCGTTAACACACACATATATATATATATTCTATTTCAAATTTTCTTTCAAAATTTTTAAAACGGGTTAGTTTGGAAGAAGTTTCTACCCTTTAGAAGGAATGTTTCGTTTCTCTCTCCAGCCAATATGAGATCTCACAGTAGTGTTGTTCATATATGTAGCTAGAGGACAACATATGGGTGTATCCATACAATGATTATTTATTTAGTCCCTGATATTTATTTAGAAACCATTTTAATAGATCTTTAGGTAGTTAGGTTATGATTTGACGGTGCTGATTACATCGGCTAATATGATATTTTTAATTAGTTGAGAAATTATTCTAATTATTTTAAATTTATATGATATTTTAAATTTTTCTCGAGTATATTGGTGCATAAAATGATTGAAATTTGGTTGTTAAATAAAAACGAAAGGGGCAACCTTGATGAGAATTTAAAATCAAGGTGTTAATTAAGACAAAAAGAAAGAAACTAAAGGAAAATTGATGTAACATAGGTTACATTCATAATTATTAAAATATATAGAGAGAATTAAATAACATGTTTATTTTATATAAAAGATCTTATGCTCATAAAAACATTAATCATGATGAATAACTTTTTTTTTTATTTAAAAAAAAAAAAAAAAAAGAGTTCCATGCATGAGTGGGAAGCACCATTCCCAAAGTGTTAAAGCAAATAAAGAACAAAAAAAGAAAGTAATTGATTCCCACACCGGAAGAATACATCATTCTAATTGGGTATTTAACCTAAAAGCTTCTTTTAGAGTCACGTAGATGAGCGCAAAAATCTTCAAAATATGCGTTAAAAGCACTTTCTAAATCTCCTTTACCAACCCTACTTTTGTCATTTTACCCATCTTTTCTTTCTCTTTTATATTCTAACCCTTTTTTTTAAATATTTTTTTTATTCCGTCTTCGACACCAGATTTATAATTTATCTGAATAAAGAAAAAAAACCATATATTTACAGGTTATAGGTTCAAATCTTCTCTACTCGAGAAACCAAAAAAAAAAAAAAAAGACGAACAATGGCTTCATTGGTTACAATTTCGAAGGTTAATTTCCTCCTTCTCTTCTTTTTTTTCTTTTTTTTGTAAGTGCAAAACAAACAAAAAATCAATTAGATTCATATATTTGATTTGCTGAAATAAAATAAGATGATTTGGGACCTCAAAGGTTGATGGGAATTAGGATCTGCTTTTGTTGCTTTTTGTCTTTTTTTCTTGTCTGCTTGTCTTTCTTTACCTCTCTTTTTTTTTTTCTTTCTTTCTTTTTCTTTAAAATCAATTTCTTTTTTTGTTCTTCAGAGGCTCCAACTTCACTTCAATTTCTGTTCTCACACATATAATGTTATGTTCATCAAACTGCCCTTCCTAATGTGAATTCCAAATTAGGCTTCTGAGGAAGGTTCCCCGACGAGCTTATCTCCGATAGTCTCTCGTTGTTTGAGCTCTTTGGATCCACGTCATTCTGTAAAACAAAAAAAAAAAAAGTGGATTACTATCAATAATGAGCTCGAAACCGACACGAGACTAAAAATATGAAGCAATAAACTAGTTCGTATGTTCTTGATTTGACAACTCAAATCAATCTCGGAGTCCACAATGACCCTAAATTTGTTTAGAACGTACGTTCGAGTCTTGTGTGTTAAGATATATGGTATCGAGAAGGAGAGAGAAGAAGGAGTACCTCGAGGGACGATGAAAGGTCCCTAGAAGAATCATTAGGAAAACCATGCAACCAAGCTTCCCTGTGACATAACCAAAACACAAGAAAGAAAGGGAAAAAGCATATCTTCAATCAGCGGAAACCATAATAAACCATGCAGAGTATATAAAAAAGAAAAAGAAAGCTACAAATCTTTTTGGCTTTGCATTTGGTGCTTTTGATTGATATAAAGCTACACCAACTCCATGTGACACCCCATTACTATAATCACAAACTACGAGGAATTTTTCAAACAAAAAAAGCTTTGTTTTTAGGCATCAAAATTTCCACTAATGCCTCCATCAAAACCCCTTACCTTTCACACTAAGTTTCTTATTTCATCTCCAATTATTTTGAATATGGTGAAGCCCCACAAAATCCAAACCACACAAATTTCAAGACACTATGTTTATAATTGCCTCATCATGGAGTTTTTGATGACGATATCCACAAGCATAGGGTTTGAACTGTTACAAATGGTATCAGAATCAGGCACTAGGCAATGTGCCAACAGGGAGGTTGAGCACTGAAGGGAGTGGACACAAGGTAGTGTGCAAAGAAGCACGCTGGGACCTAAAGGGGTGGATTGTGAAATCCCACGTGGGTTTAGGAGGAGAATGAAAAGTGGACTTAGACTATTACATCATTTTCCCTTTGTATTATAAATCAACCCACAAGAATTCAAGTTGAAATCTTCCAAAACTATGGGTTTGAATATGAAAAATGAAGTGAGAAAGGGAATTATACCTGGAAGAATTGCTCCAGAGGGCATGATAATCCTTATCTTGATGAGGGTTTTGCCTATTTTGTTGAACTGAGTGCTCATTTTGCCTTCCCATGCTTGGCTTTTGAATGTCAAATATTATATCTTCAATATTGCTCGTGTCCCCTGATGAAGCATTCTCGTATAAATCTGATTGCCCTGTGTAAATATTCATTTTTATTTTATATAAATAGAAGAAAAATGGGTAAAAAAAAAAAGGAAAAAAAAAATCACCTGAAGAAGCTGCTGCTCTGTCTGTGGTCTTCACTGTACGGTACATCTGCAATGGGAATTTTATGGTATTATAAGATTTAAAAGTGGGTTTTTATTGGATTATTTAAACAAAAATAGCTATAAAAAAAACCCCAAAAATGGAATATAATCATAGTTATGGAGGTTTGGTTAATTAAAAAGAAAATAAAAATAAAACAGAAATGATTTTGAAGAAGCTATGATTGAGTAATGATGGGTTATTCTATTTGCTTTTGTTTTCTTCCTCTCACTCACTCACTCACTCAACACTCACTCCATTGATGTTTTTTTGGACATATAAATACACCCATTTCAAGTACTATACATGAAAGCTTCATATCAACTAATTTTGGGAGTAAATTATATATATATTTTTAAAAAAAAACATGTGGGTTTAAAAAAAAAAAAAAAAAACAAGACATTTTTGAGCTAAAAAAACATAGTTATGTTTTTGTTTAAACCACACAAACACTTATCCCTAGATGTTTGAAGACTTCAATGATTAAAACAAAAAAAAATATTTAATTTACATTAAATTTTAACAGCTACCACTTCTTTCATTTACTCTTCAAAGCCTTGTCAACTGGAAAACAGTCTCTCTGAGCTACCTTGTCTTGTGTGCATGTGTTACAGTTGAATTTCTTTTATTATTATTATTATTTAAAAAAAAATAATAATAATAATTTTACTCATAGTTGGTATGGCTCATTCTCCCAAGCAAAAAGCTGTTTGTTAGCTAGCAGAAGCAGAACCATCAGATCTAGAAGAAAATGAAAAGCTAAGAATTTGAGCTCCTCCACAGAAAATATTAAAAAAAAAAAAAAAACAAAACAAAACAAAACATGTCTTTATTAAAAAAAAAAAAAAACAAAACAAAACAAAACATGTCTTTATTAAAAAAAAAAAAAAACAAAACAAAACAAAACATGTCTTTATTAAAAAAAAAAAAAAACAAAACAAAACAAAACATGTCTTTATTAAAAAAAAAAAAAAAAAAAAAAAACAAAACTTGATTTCCACTCGACAAACTTCCTGCCACGAATTAATTAAGGATGTAACAACGATGCAAAACCCCATCTTCATTTATGCAATCGCCACACTCCACGCATTGAAATCACTTTGATTTTGATTTTCTTACCCAAACTTAACCCTAATTTGAGTTTTGTGTAATTTTTTAAAGAAATTTTTGAAATGGGATTTTGGTTTAGATCAAGAGATTATGAGTTGCATACCTGTAAATGAGATTTGACATGGGCTAAGGTTAGATCTTTGACATCCATAAGCTCGAGAACCGACTTGGGCGTCGCTCCTGGTAGCCAAAATGTAAAGAAATAATTAAATTTATCGTAACCCATCACGGGAAAAGTAATATGGTTTTGAGGGTAAAGGAAAAGTGAATACTTTCATGGCCGCCGAGGAGTTCAACAGCATGAACAAAGCGAGCATGGAGAGTGGAAGTCCATCGCATCCTTGGGGCTCTCATGCTGCGTTTGGCCGGAAACCTAGACAAGAATCTGGATCGCATCATTATCTGGCCGTGGCCGCTGGCGGAGGGAGCGATGGGGGAGGGAGTGCCGGCGGGGTTAGTTGTCTGATGGTACACCGGAATTCCTCTAATGGGTCGCAAAAAGGCCAAGTCTTGAACATTGTTCTGTCCTGGAAAAGGGTGCGATGTGGTGGGTGGTGGCGGAGGAGTGTGGTGGAAAATGGTGGGTGGGTGATGGGTTTTGTGTAGGGTTTGGAAGAGGTGAGCGCCGCCGTGGAAGGCAGGGTGGTGGTGGTGGTGAGGAAGAGGAGGAGGCGGAGGAGGAGGAATATTGGAGTATTGGTTAATTTGAGTGAAGTTGGAAAGGGAGAGATCAAAGTGTTGATTAGTAGGGTGATGTTTGGGAGTGGGTTTAGCAGACTCCAAATTGAGATTATTCCAAAACCCCAAATCAAGATGTTCTTGAGAGGGTGTTGTTGTTCTCCAAGTGGAAGAGGGTTTATTTGTATTGGGAGGGCTAATTTGGAGCGACAAATCCGGCTGTGCAGGGAATAGCTCCATCTTAAACCCACCTTCTTCTCTTCTCGATTTCTTCTTGATTTCTTCCTTCTTCTTCTTCTTCTCAGGCGATTTGTTGGGGATTTGGGAATATGGGTTTTGAAGGCAAGGCAGGGAAGATTAATGGGTCGTTCTTCTTTTTCTGTTTTGTTCTTCAGATTTTGATGAGCTTCTAGAGAGAGAGAGAGAGAGAGAGAGAGAAAGGGATTGATATCAAGAAAGAAAGAAAGAGGTAAGAAATGACAAGCTATGAAGTGAATGGTTGTTTCTTTTGTGTGAAGTATATGTGAGAAAATGACACTTGAGGAGCTATGGAAGAGAGAAGGAAGAGAGAGAATGAAGAGAGAGAAATAAGAGAGAGAAAGAAGAGAGAGAAAGAAGAGAGAGGGTGTAGGGTACTTACTAGGTGAGAAAGTTAGGAAAAGATGAAAAAGGGAGAAAAGGTAAATAAGATAGGTGTTGCTTCCCCCTTTTGGTTTTTACCTTACCTTTCTTTCTTTCTTCTTTAATTATTATTTTTTACTCCTCATTTCTCTAAACATAAACATATATTCATTATTATTCTTTTAAATGTCTAATAAATTAACAAAAACACTTAATTAGAATGATATATTTCATTTATTTTATATTCTACCCAATATTTAACCTAATAATAGCGAAATTAGAAACATTAAAAAAGAAATATAGTTTGAAACACAAAATATAAATAACATAAATGATATGATTCAATATTGGTACATATAAATGTAAAACAGGAGGCTTTAATTTTTGGAATTTGTTTCTAAATTTAATTTTCAACAGACATAAGGTCTGTTTTTATCTTTTAAGGGCTTCTTGGTTTGCTATTTAGGGTCTTAACTTTATTTATTTATTATTTCTTTATGTTTTTTTTTTCAATAATTACCCATTTCATCATTTAAACTAATTTACCTTCTTGATACTAAATCATTTTTACTGTTTTTTTTTTTTTTAATAATTTAACTAATTTCTACTATTATAATTAAACTTATAAATACTTTTTTCAATCTAACTCAAATTTTAAAAAAAATTAATTTAGAATGACATAAATAATTTTTTTAAAAATGGAATTGTTATCGAATAGAGCCTAAAAAATTTAATTAAAATCAACTAAATATCATCAAAATCGAACAATGGTGGACAAAATTTGTACTACAAAATAAAATTGAGTATTAGTTGTTAACAAACGTGATGAAATAAACTTGGGAATAGTTTAAAAAATTCTTTCAATTATGAACAGACAAACTTAAATAACAAACTAAATTCTGTCTTTAATAAGGTTATTCATTTTCTTCTCCAAGCTTAGTCACGTGTATACATTCAAAAAATATTTCATTCTATATAATTATTTATTAAAATTTAGATAATAAACATAAAAAAAATAAAAATAAAATAGGTATAATTTCATAAAGACAGTCCAACCGAATCGTAAGAGCAAAAAAAACATTAGTTTACTTATAATTGTCGATAACAGTCTAGATTTTTGAAGAAGTATGAAAATCAAGTTAATTGTGAGATCCCATTGAAGAGGGGAACAAAGTATTCCCTTAGAAACCTCTTCTTAACAGACACATTTTAAAACTGTGTGACTGATGATGATATGTAATGTACCAAATCAGATAATATTGGCTAGTGGTAGACTTAGCCGTTACAAATGATATTAGAGCCAGATAGCAGGGGATAGCTGACGACAAACACACGTGGGCTTTTGTTATGTTTTTTTTTTTTTTTGCGCAAAATTACGAAAAATAAAAAATTTAATTATGAGAAAGAAGCATATGGTGAAGGAAATATTCCTAATTTGATGAGTCCTCAGCTTGTGAAACTTGTTATTTGATTCCATTCCATAAATGGAAATAAAGGAAATTTTATTTTATTTATTTATTTTTTTTGTGTATAATAGCAAAATAAATAAATAAATAAAATCCATTAAAATGGAAGAAGTAATTACATTTAGAAAATTGTAATGAAGTTTTAAGTGGGGTTTGATTGGGTTTAACAAAGCTTAATTACTTTTCTTAATTAGTCAATATGTACCTAACAAATGTCATTTCGTCAAATCAAATTTATTTCTCAAACAAAACAATCTTTGCCTTTAGAGTTACAAAGAATGATTGAGTGAACTTTCCAATGCCTTGTTTTCATCACATCATCATTTCCATGAAAATTATTTATTTATTTTTCATTTTTCATCATTTTTTAAACTAAAAAAAAGTTTTTAAAGTATAGAATTCGTGCATTACCAAATAAAGGACCTGACACATAAATGAACAAAGATGTAGAAACCTTTTATTGGTAGACGCGTTTTAAAATCGTGAGGGTGATGACGATACGTAACGGGTCCAAACCGGACAATATCTACTAGCAGTGGATTTGGGTTGTTACAGCATTCAAATGAGGATGATTGTGAAGAAATTAAAAGTTATTGCATATACTCATTCAAGATACATGTTTCTTTTATGTGATTTTAATAAAGATGAAACTAAAGTTTTTTTTTTAGAAAAAAGACAAACAAAAGACATATAAGGCTTAATCTCGAGTAGTATTATACATAAGTTATGATTGTGCAAACGATGCATTCACATGCAGAAAGGGGTTTGAATGAAGCTTTTTAAAGATATAAAAATAGCGCGAAATCCAAAATAATTATGAGTAGGTCGACTTTATTATCGTAAAAAAAGGAACGGGAGTTTGATTGAAGGTGGAAAAGAGTTTGGTTAAGAGAGTTATGAGAAATGGGAAATGAAAACTTTTGTTTCTCTCAGCTTTTTATGAAAAGAAAAGGGAAGAAAAGGAAAGGAAAGTGGGAAGAATGAATATGTTGGGAGTTATAGAAAGGGATGAAGAAGGAAAGGTTTAGGGTTTCGAGTTTAGGGTTTAGGGTTTAGGGTTTCGAGTTTAGGGTTTAGGGTTTAGGGTTTAGGGTTTAACAAAAACAACAACCATTTCTTTCTTTTTACCTTTGTGCTCTAAACTTTGCTTTTTTGAGGTTTCTCTTTCGACATCACTCATTTCTGCCTAACTTTTTGGATAATCCAAACACTCCCCATTCTTCTCTCTCTCTATTTCTCCTTTTTCATCTTATTATTATCTTTTTTTTTTTTAATTATTATTTGTGGGCACACCTCTCTTTATGAGCCATAACACCAACAAAACCATATATATATATATATGTGTGTGTGTATATGTATTAATGAGCCAAATATAGCTTTGTAGGACCACCCACTTGAGGAGCCAATTGGGCAATGCCCACCTGAAAATTTATGAGTATTTTAGTCTTCAAGCAATCTCGAGAGAGTAAATTAGTCAATAAGTCCACTGCTAGTAGATATTGTTCGTTTTGGTCCGTTACGTATCGTTGTCAACTTCACGATTTTTTTAAACATGTCTACAGGGGAGAGGTTTCCACACCTTTATAAGAAATGTTTCGTTCTTCACATTAACTCAATTGATTAAGATATATATCTTTTAACTAATATGTTACAGATTTGAATCTTTCGATTCTTAATTTTTTTTCTTTTATATAAAAAAGTACATGAAGAGAAAAGATATGTGAGATCTCACATCGGTTTGAGAGAGAAACGATACATTTCTTATAAGGGTATGGAAACTTCTCCCTAACAGATGCATTATAAAATCGTGAGGCTAACGACGATACAAAATGGGTCACAGTGGACAATATCTGCTAGCGGTAGACTTGAGCTGTTACAAATGATATCAGAGGTAAACACTGGGGCATGTGTCAGTGAGGAGGCTGGCCCTCAAGGGGAGTGGATTGTGAGATCCCACATTGATTGAAGAGGGGAACGAAACATTCTTTATCAAGGTGTGGAAACAGCTTCCTAACAGATGCATTTTAAAACCATGAGGCTGACGATGATACATAACAGGTCAAAGAGGACAATATCTACTAGCGATGGGTTGAGCTGTTACGAGATCAATCCCAATTTATTTTAAAAAAATTTGGCCTTACAATTAAGGGTAAGAATTTATAGAGAAAAAAAACGTAGATAGACATATATAAAAACGTGATGACATCGAAGAAGCTATGGAAATAAATGATGTTGTAAAGGCTATTTGAAGTGATACATAAATGTTATGTACTTCATTGAATAAGTTTAGAATTCTCATTATTATAATTTATTTTTCAATTATTTTTTATACTTTAATTCGCACCTTTATGAAATATGGATAGAAACAACTGACGAATATTTCACATCGTGAGGTCTATGGTTAAAAAGTTTTAAAATTTTATGAATTAAACAATGAGAATATGAACGATTGATAAAATTGACGTTTTAGTTAATAACATGTGGGAATAGAGACCGAACCTTTGAATCGATGTCTTAGTAGGGAGTTCTCGAAATCTCGAAAGCATACTGGCTCAATTACAAAAATTCTACAAATCCCATTATAAAACGAAACATCAATAAATTCTCAACTACTAAAACAAGACTTTATTGAAAGTGGGTACCACTCGATGAGGATTTATATTCAAATGGATGAAATTAAAATTATATAAAGTAAAGGTATATTCATATATATATATATATATATATATATATATATATATATATATATATATATATAGATATATAATTCCAATAATTAATATTATTTTAAAGAAATAAAAATAAAAATAAGAATTTGGTGAAGGCCTATCTCGAGATGGAGAAGATACCATTTGCATGGCAACGACACAAGTGGGATTTGTTTTTGCAAAATTGTTAAGTAATTTAATTACATGGATAAACAATTGCGTTTGTGTTTCCTAGGGTTTTCAGACAACATTAGAAGCAATGAAATTTAAACCATATTATAATTTTAATATATACTTTTTATATCATAATTTACCCAAATTAGATATTTTAGTGGAAACTAAGGTGGAACATGAATACCAACACCGACCATCTTTATATGATGTCTAATTTATGTCTTATATTAAACCGTCAAATTTCATTCAATTGACCAAAGTTTTTAAAGTTAATAAAATATTACAGCATTTCATCACATATTCAACTAATTAATATTTATTTTAGTGATTATATTCATAATAATATAACGTGTTCATGATTAATTCAACCCTTGATGACTTCAACATTCTGTTACGATATTGTCTTGAATTTTTTTAAGAGTAAAAATTATCTCCACAGATCAACAAAGATCTTTTTATTAATTTATTAACGATAAATGAACGGTGGAGATTAATTGAAAGAGCTTATATAAATAAAATATATTAATATGTAGGACTTAGGCACGTGAAAATGTGGAATTAGGGTTATGAAGATGCAGATATTGAGGAAAGAGCAGCTTCCAATTTTGTTTTAATCAG